ATGTGATAGGCAAAACAGCACTGACTTGATAAAGGCAGACAAGGTTCCTTGGGTGACTTGATAAATGCCATTTTATCCAAAAAGCAGTTTGCATAGCTGAATTGGTTCATATAATTTGTTGTATGTATAACATGGTGTAAAACCATAACAGGCCATTCTTTTACACTTGGTGTGCAAGACAAGTTGTAGGTTCCTGTATCAAACTTGGAAGCAGAGATACAGTACTTTATTTTAAATAAAGCTTAATTCTTAAATATTAAATAAAACTTGAACAGCTTTTTCTGTTTTAAAAAATTGTCTCCCTTGAAGAGGGCTATATTATGTGGGCCAAGGGGGGGTGACTAGCACTGAGAAGACATAGCAAACAATATTTAATATCTCCTAGTAGCAGAGTACTGGCAATATAGTTGTAGTTCTTCCACTTGCAGGAGTAGGTAAAACCAGCTTTTAGGACCATAGCATTCAGTTTGCTCCATGAATTAAAAAATATATTGGGCTATTAAGAACTTCCCCAGCTAAAAACTTTAGTAGTGACTTCTTATACCTAGTATTTCTGAATGCACTATAGAGGGGTTCTAGCTGTGGAAAAACCTTTCACTGTTTTTGATCTACACTTGATGTGAGCCTTCAAGAGGCTGAGAAGCGATTTATCACTTTCTCTATGGGCTGGCCATTGCTGTTTTTGCACCTACAAAACTGGTGTATAGGAAGACTTGGGGGGGGTGCCCCTGGGAAACATGTAGATTTCGGCCTGCTTTGGGCCACCACATAATGTACAGATAGAAAGTGGCTGCATAGTATTGACAGGCCTGCTGTGGATTTAATCTTCATGCATGAACAACACTGCCTATCCCCACTTTTTTCTCCCCTTCATAAATGGGGAAAATGTGTCTATTCAACACAGTAGGGGGTAGAAGAGAGAAGTTCTTTCAAACACAAGTTACTTCTTTTCTCTCCTCTCTTCCCCTTCAGGTGTGAGGAGCACCTCTGTGGAAAATAGTCTAGGGTGGAAAGAGGTTGGGGGGGAGGCTGAGAAGTCTTGCACGCATTCCCAAGTGTGTGTTGGGGGGATGTTAAGCTTCCCTTCCAGTTTTCCAAGGTCTAGGTCTTTTTATTTAAAATTCCTTTAAAAGCAGCAAAATTATAAGCTTTTTGAGAGGTGGGGTTTGAAGATACTTTCTTTTCTAGGAATAGGTCTAGTTTTAAGTATGACCCGCAGGCCAGGCTGGGGGAGGTGGGGAAAGAATTAGCACTTAGCTTCTGTGAGCAATTTATACTAAAATATCCTCTTGAGGAACTTGTGGTTGGAAAGTTTTGGGTTTTGTGTTCGAGGCATGTGCATTTGATTCCACTCTTGATGGATTTTTTGTCGTCGTCTGCTAAGGTCATAATTGCAATTGACAGCAGTTTTGGGGGCAAGGGGAAATGGGACAGGCTGGCAAAGGGAGAAATACATCTTTTGCTTTGTTCACTTCCTAGCAACCAAAATTGATGGAGCCAAGAATATTCCAGTTTGATCTTGTAGTCAAGGTGGCACACTAGTCTGATTTTGATGTTTTAATTTTGAAAGCTTGCGTAGCTTAAAAAAAACCCCCAAAACTTTTTTGGAGGGGGTGGGGGGCAGGGATAGGGTTGGAGAGCCACCCTGCCTTTCTAAATCTGCAAAAGAAGGCATGTGCAAAAGTTCGTAAAAATCATGCATGCCTGCTGTCATTTATGACACAACCTATGGAGATGTGTCCCTATAAGGGAAACTGCCCATAATACTATACCATCTGATAGCTCAGGTGCTAGGTTTCCGGGTTGTGTGCGCACGTTGCTTTCGTCCTCCAAGTGTTTCTGTTGGTGTTCTAATATTGTAAATGTTAATTCATGAACATATTTTAACACTTTTTTTTACCATGTTAAACTGGAAGCGGGATCTCATTTAATTTAAAGTTTTGTCTCCTAAGCAACCATTGCATCCTTTCAACAGTTTTGTACATTGGTGCTAAAAAGGAACATTCCTTGTTATGTGTGTAGCTTTAACATTAAGCAGGTGTCTAAATCTTCTGTGCAGATGCATACACTCATACTTGGTCTGTTCTGAAAGCTTATTCACAGTCTAGAGATCAGTTTAGTTCAAGTGAATTTCAGTATGTTTTAATCAGTGTCCAGTTGTTTTGTTTTCCTTTTTTTACAAAGGACAACACACTAACCAAGTGTGTGGTAAAAGTTGCAGGAATAAATCTTCTGGGAGTGCCAGAATAGGCATTTCCTGTGGTCCATATGTAGGACATCTACCCTCTCCATTTTTTGGAAGTTGCCTTCTACCCCTCCCCAGATAAATGAGGACCTGTGTGCGTAATTTTCTCCTGTAGTTTTATCAAATGAGACTCCAGTGTAACTATTCTTCTGATGGTCCTCTAACAGAGTGTACACTTTCTCTACCAACATGTCATGTGCCATTGGGTAAGGTATCGGAAGCCATTGTGCTCAAGTACAAGCTAAAATAAACTTTATCTTGCCAGGAAGCTCTTCTCTCCTGACAGTTGCCAACTTTCTGTGGAGCATCTACTGTGGCAGGTGCAGGCTACTGCAAACCTCTGACTTGCAAATCCTCAACACATAGCTGCCATGGTGCTAGCACAGGAGCATTCTTTTACTATATCTCTAACTCTAACTTTATTTTGGCTTTCTGCATCTTCCAAATGGCATCTTTTTTTTTTCTTCCTGGAAGCACATTTGTAGACCAGAACAAAGAGGGTTATCTCGGAGCAGGGTGCTACTTCAGATTTGATATTGTGTCTTTTATTCTGTTCCCTTACATACTTAAATAGTGCCAAGTTCCAGGGATTCCATTTGTGCCATGGCTCGCTGCCATACTGAAGGAACTAGTGCTGCTCTAAAATGCAGTCTATTAAATTGAAACAGTCCCTCATGGGCATTCACTTGGCAGTGCTTGGGTTCACGGCTCATATCCATCTGTAAATAAGCCTGATCGATGATTATCCTAATGAATTCTTATTCATGTAAGCATGGGAGCAAAATATCTTACCCCTTTACCATGGGGGGATGGCTTTAAAACCAAGGAACACAAGATTCACTATTGATCCTAGATAGTTGCTATTTGTGCATTCATTCTGAACCGGTGGAGATCTTGCTCTCCTTTTTATTTACTTCATTTGGGGGCTTTTACCTTTCAAGCTTAATTCAACCTGGGCACATCTATACATGCTGTAAATGCTGGCACAATATGCATTAATATACTCCTGGAGGTGCCACTTGGAACATGCTCCTAGGACTGCAGCGTGTCTGAGCTGGGACAGAGCAGCCCCAGCTGCCAGGGGGGTAGAGCAGCCTGACCAGCCCAGCTCAACATGCTGCAGAGGGGCTGGCTGGGACCCTAAAGTGCTTCAGTGTGGGGCTAGCTAGCAGGCTACAGGCGTTTCTGTAAACGTAAAACATGCACAAGCTCCACTGCAGGATAGTACTTGTGTTTACTGCAGAGCTAATTAGGCAGCTCCCACAGTAAAGGCTTTGTGTAGGTGTGCCTCTAGCCTAAACCAGGGCTGCCCTACTCCTGGCCCACAGACTTCTGCTTTAGGTGCCACTTCTCCTGCTTGCTGCTAGTCTTCAGGCTCTTCTACCCAGGAAGCCTGAATGGCAGGTGGCCTTAGATGCACAGAGGCCTGCTTGGAAGTTCTTCTGTGAAGAAAAGAAGGGGCTCTTGATTGGCATACATTTTGCTATCTGAAAGCTAAATACACAACTGTTGTTCAAACGCTCCAGATGCTAGACTGGAAGTGTCCCAGTAAACTTTTGGACTTAAACTAGGTGACAGCCCATTGCATGTATACTTTAGGAAGTTGGACTACTTGACCTGGTCTCTGTCCCTTTTAAAAACTCCTGTGGATAGCTGTGCGGTGCTATATCTTCTTTCATTTTTTTAATTTTGTTTTTCATTTGACTTCAGTGCAAGTTTGCTCTCAGGCTATCCAAGTGTCTAATTGAATGGTGCACAAATAATGTGTTCCTCTGAAATTGCCCTGATTTTAAGGCTCAGTATAGCCTTTTGCACTGTTGCAGATGGAACATGCTTGGTATGAGAAGCTAGCAGATCAGGGGATTGAACTGAAGAGCAGTTAAGCCTAAGGCTCCTCAGCCTTATGCAAAGGATCCATGTGCTAGTGATGGAACTTTAATTCGCGTATGGCTTTCCAGTCGTCTGGGAACATGACTTGTAAATAGCCCTCCAAGTCCTTTGCTAGCTTTGCAGCTAGCTTAGAAATGTTCAGAATGTATAGTCTAACAGGGCATGTGTCCTTTCTCAAGGAATCTAAGAATTGCTGGCTGACTTGGTTGAAATTTTTTAAAAACTTTTTATTCTTCTCAATCTTTGAAGTCTGCCAAACATTTTTTTGATCAGTTGGTCCACTGTAAAACTAGTTAAGTTTTGTTTGTGTTTTTGTTTTTCTTATCCTCTGTTGCTTGAAGCAAGTGAACTCAACCTATAACTCTAGAGTACAGCACAGCAATGACAACTTTCCTCTCCCACAATTAAGCTGTCCTGTGAATAAACAAGTCATGAGTAACACTGTTCTTAGTCCTGTGATGTGTGTGGTTTTGTTTTTTTGTTTAGTAATACCTTCTGTCCCTTGGAACAAGAGGATGTAATGCAACAGCTTTCTCTTCAAATATAGAAATTTGCAATGGGTTAAAATCCTTTAACCGTCATCATCTATCCAAGATGATGCAAATTCTTAAGTAGGACAAAATTCTCTGAACAGAGGTTGCTTCCAAGTAATGCTGTCTCTGGTATTTCTGTTGCTTGAAGATGGGGGGGGGGGAAATAACAAAAATGACTCTCCTGTCTTGGCCTTCCAAGGTTGTGGTACAAGGTATGAATTCACCCCAGTTCAAGGCAAGTTTGTCACTTTTAGCTATATGCATTGCATTTTTCAATTTTCCTGGGATACTGACTAGCCTGCCTGTCTCTTTTTCTTTCTTTCCTCTTCTAGACCACAAGGGCAGAGTTCGATTTGCCAGAATACTCAGTACGCCGGCGGTATCAGGATTTTGATTGGTTGAGGAATAAGCTGGAAGAATCGCAGCCCACCCATCTCATTCCCGTAGGTAGTGTCAGCTGTTGCTGAACATGTCTGCATTTGAATATCTCTGTGGAAAGTCTCTTGTTGCTTCATCAGACTTCAAGGTGTGTACAAGTTCTCTCTGCCAGAGTGGAACATTACAGCCTTAGAAGCAAAAGAGCTACTTCCACTGTTCCTGAAATGTTGTCATACGTTCTATATGAAGGCTTGCTACATGTGAGGGTAGCATAAACTGTCCTAGGCTGTAACTGCTCCAGCAGTAGTGCTGTCATCTGGCATTTCTTTAAAAATAAATTAAAAATGAGGTGGTGTTTTTTTTAGCTGTTTGCCCACCTGCTGCATTCAGATGCTACCGTTGCCTGTGTACTAGGGGGAGGGCAAGAAATGCTTAAGGGTGCTACACTTTCAGGATTTTTTTCAGTCTGCATACCAGTGTACTACAAGTGACAGCCTCCAATAGTCAGGTTTTTCTTTTATGACCAGATCTTTGAAAGAGCATGTACCAAAAGTGCAGTTTTAAAAATGTCTAGGCCATCTGTGCCACCAAAGCTTCCAGTTGCCCCATTTGAGGTCCACGGTCTGACGACAATTGCACATGCATTTGCTGTGGCTACACAGATAGCAAAGCCCTCTGTCTTGGCCCTCTGCAAATGTGGCTAAACAAAATTCGGAATTGCTTGTGCACTCTTTCTAGAAACATGAGCATCCTTCTGGGTTTTCAGGGAGGGCTTGTGGTATTAAGATGACTTGAATAATAGACCCCATCTAGTACTCTAGAGGACCACTGGAGGCGTATCCATCCATTTTACTTATTATATTGCCCAGATTGGGGTGTTTTTTGTTTTGATACCATTATCTTTTTTTTTATTGCTGTCCAGTTGCATCTTTTTTTGTTTGTTAGTTTCTTTAATTTGCATAAACTATTCCAGCATTATGCACTCAAATCAGCCAGCTGCATACCTAGACTTTGCAGAAAAGGCTGCAGATTAGAACTAGCCACTTCCCCTGCCCTGCCCTGTTCCATTCTGGGTCACTTAGGCTGCATCAGTGTGTGGAAGCATGTTCAAGGTAATGGGCACAATAAAGATCATATTTGCTGACTTGGTGGATGGCTCCCTTCCCTGTCCCTCTACCTCTTTCACACAAACTATCACAGTTTCTAGACTTAAGGAAGGGTGGCTTGCTCTAGGACTGAACTGCCTTGGCTTCAGAGTCTGAAGTGGGGGACAGCCTTAACTGTATGTTAAGGTGGTGTGTAGCAGGAGTTGTTCAAAATCAAGATTTCTTATTCATTTTTGCTAAGAGAATGTATTTTTAGAATAGCCACAACTGCCCTGTTTGGGGTTTTTTTGTCTTGTAGGCTCCAAGTTTTTTAAAAAGAAATGATGGGATGAAATGCAGACTTCCAACCCTGAAATGGGTGCCAGCCTATGACTAAATGTATTAAGTGGATCATGTTTCCCCTTTGCCTGCCTGCCCCCCCCCCCCCAGCATCTTGACTGTGGCCACACCAAAGGGAACACTGCCCCTCAGGGTTTGCTAAGGTTGACTGAGCAGTTCTGAAACGATTAGGGGAGTCCCTTTTAATTTCAGGTGCTTGTTTGACCTTTTGAACCTTCAATACAAAGTCTTTTGTTCCCTTTTGGAACATAGCAGTGACATACTAATGTGGTTTTATTGTTGTTAAGCTTATATAGGAATCTAGTGGAGCAGTGCAAATTGGTCATGAGATGACCCTAATGATTTGTTCTTTCCTAATTTTTTTTTTTGGACTGGTAGGGTGGGGGAGCTACTTTTTGCTTTTGAGAGGGTGCTGATTAAGCTGTAAGAAATTGCATGTCCTCAACCCTGTAAAGAAGAGTAACTGCTTGTTTTTAATGAGTCTCCTACACAGACTTGATCAGGGAGGCCAGGTCAAGACTGAAACATCTGACATTGGTGGGGACAGAAGATGACAAGGTGTCTGTTACAGTGTAGTCTCCAGATCTGGCTTTCCTTTCTCTGTATTTCAAGGCAACCAGCCACCCACCTCATAAGGCAAGGACCAAAACAGTACCTCAAGTAGTCTCTTAATAGATGCCCCAAACTCTCCCTCTTTGCATTTATCATGACCAACTCCTAGATGGTCAGGAAAACTGCATTTTTGGGGGACAATTCTCCAACTGTCTGACCTTAGGACTCTGGGACACTTACTATTGTGCGCAATCCTAACCAGCTGACTTGCACAAAGTATATGAAATGGGAGAGGAAGGAAGAAGACCTTGGAGGGGTTTGTCAGCTTTTTTGCTGCTGCAGCAATCTTCTGTGCCTTGCCTCTAGGATTAGGTTTTTATCCTGGTTCTTCCTCTGCAACTGTCCTTGATGGCTTGTAGGGTATTGGGTCATGTGGCAGATCAGCAGTGTTCCAACATGATCAATGTAGAGACAATGGCAAGTAAGGTCAGGCAGTATAATCTAGCTAGGCTGTATGAGGGTGGAGATTAATGATGGGGAAACTAGAAGTAGTGGGTAGCTTTATTCCACTGAAATAAGGATGCACAAAGTATTGATACGGTTCTGCAAGAGCTTCAGGCAGGCTGAGTAAATGTGCCTGCCATGTAACCATGATTCAGCCTTCCCCTTAAGTCTTAGAATAGTATTCTACACACGCACTAGATGTTTTCTACAAACCCAGCCAAAGGCTCATTGCAAGTTCAAGTCCACTGTGGTGAAACTGCAGTAAACCAGAGCACCTGCCTTTTGACTGAATGCACGCTAAGTGAAGCATGGGAAGGGAAGTTGGAGAATGCTGTAGTAAGAAGTTTTTTGGGATGACTTTGTGGAACAGTGTAGCTATTGGCCAGCTACCCTCTCTGCATCTGCTGAAAAGCTTCTCTGGGAGTCTTGCCCTTCAAGTAAGATTGCAGACGTGCAGCAAAAGCATAAGTGTTGGGGGTTTTTTGTTTGATTTAGAATCAATCACCTTTGAATTGTAACTCAAAATGTATTTGCTACTGATGTGGTACCAGACACCTCTGGCATGAGGCTATCTGCTAGCAGTTGAAAAGAACTCCCCTCTGCCTGCCCAAGGATCTGTTCTGTGCACCCTATTTCCTTAGATGGTTGCAGGATTAGTATATTTGAGCCATTTATTTATTGAATTTCTGCACTCTTCCAGCTTCTAAAACATTGGGCCAAATTCTTTTGCACTTACATAAGTCACTGAAGTGTATGGGGTTGTATAAAGGTAATGAAGTAGAATTCAGTTAACTCGTGCAACATCACTGCAGTTCTGTGCTGTTTTTAGTCCACTATTGACTTAAAGAAGCTGCTCTTGTATATAGTTCTGCATCCATAAAAACACTTTTATATAAAAGATCCTGCACAAGAATTCATTAGATACCTTCCTCTTTGTTCAGTAAATTCTAGGATCGGTAAGTCCGCTGTCTTTTTGCTGAAGGAGGCATCTAGCATCTGTTTTGAGATCTGAATATTAAATACCAGAAGCTACAAGACCTGGATTGTTTTGTTTTTTTGCCTGTAATAAGTTTAGATTTGGAACATGCTAAAGCTGCCTAAATAAAACTCCAGAATATGCATTGGATTTTCTACTAGGTTGCATTTATTATACTGGGTATTGCCAAAGATTAATTATAATGTTGGCAGGATTGTCTAGTAAGTGCTGCAGGATGATTTAAAGTCTTGATGTACCACAAGCATTATTGGCTACTTATTAACATGGATACTAAGAGTTTACATGAATAGAAATGGTCTCCTTGCTTGGTCTAGAGAAACTACCTGCAAGTTGTTTTCCTGACCTTTCCCCCTCTTCCTTCCTCCCTGCCCCTCCCCACCTTTAAATCAAGTGTGCCTTTAAATATCCTAGACCAGAAAACTAATTTTGCAGACTCCCCTCTCCCACTCCTGCCCATGCATGTTGATGTTCAGTGTTTGTAGTTGAGATAATGTGCAGTTCTGCAGCACCTGATATCCTTTTTTTTTTTTTTCTTTCCTTGCTAGTCAGATTAGGATAATTCCTAAACTTTAGACAGAATAAAGTCCTCTAATGCTCAAAGCAGAACTGCTCAAGGCATGGTTAAATATGCATATATGAAAAGGTCTTATTTCCTTTTGCTTTTTGTACATGTCTATCAACAAATATATGCTTTATTTGTTTCCAGGTTGACCCATTTACTTTTAAACTACATCTGTCATGGCAGTCTTGGATAGCTCAACCAACCTTGGCAAATCCCCTCCTAACGAATTGCAGTACTCCCTCTGGTTCATTCCCATATGGCAGCAATTAAGATGCTGAGGAAATGACCCAATTAAATACTAGCAGTGGGCTGGCACTGCTTCCACACTGGAAGTCCTTGCATTCCATTTCTTTCTAAAGATCCCCTCCTGTCAATTTTGAAGTAAAAGGAGACCGGGGGGGGTCTCTCATAGGGAGACAATAGCATGTGATGCATCAGAGCTCTTTAAGGGTAGTTTATGATTTTCCACTCCTAAGGACTCTGAATGTTAACTTGCAGATCACACTATTTTTTTTAATCTAAATTATACATTTTAATGTTAATGCTGTTTCATAGGAATCTACAAGTTCTAGGAACTACTAAATGAATGGGATGGTCTAGGGTTTGTTGTAAAAATACCCAAGCACCACCTTTGCTCGTACAAATAACAGGGAGATGGTTACTTTTTATTCTGAATGTTGATGTAACTAATAAAATAGCTTGCCTCTCAACAAAAAAGGGGCTGTATTATCTATGTTGGTTTAGCAAATATATCCAGTAAATCTGATGGCAGGACTGAGCTGATCCTGCTACAGATGAATCTACAAAATTGTGCGTTTTGTAACAAACCCAAACAAATATTTAGCGGGGAGGGGAATTGCTCATATTTCATAAATGGCAAATTCCAGAGCTAGTGCATTACCCTTCAAAATACTGTTCTCTGTCCATATTGAGGGACTAGGGCACTGAGAATTAGTTGGGGAGAAAGATGGGAATAAGAGAATCTCCTTTTATTTTCCCCCCCCCCCACTTTCTTCTTTGAGGAAGAAAAAAAAACAAACAAAAAACTTAATTTTCAGAGTGCTGTTATTAGACTATGCTGATACCTGGGGCACTATGTATATTTAGTACTTCAAATGGACTGCTTCTTTACACCTTCAACCTAGCTCAATGCCTTCCCCTTCTTTTTTTTTTTTTTAAATTTCTTTCTCTTCCAACCTGTTCTAAAGCATGTCCTCTTGACTGCTTCTCCAAACTTCTTTAGGGTTTTTCACAAAGTTTATCTTCATAAGGCATTGACTCAGAAAAGCTTTCGCATTTGGGACAGCAGGTAAGTATATGGCACACATTCCTGTACAATGACTTGTTTCAAGTGGCTTCCTGAACAGAAGCCTAAATATAGGTAACTGAGTAAAAGATGGAAGTTCTGTCACCACCTCTCCCTGCACAAGAACAGCATTTGGAGTACAAAGGCCCTGGGCCCATGCTAGTCTTGCTACATTGATAAGACTCTGAAATGACTCCAGTGAAATCCTAGTTCAGACCCACATGGGGCAAATTGAGCAGAACTCTTCTCTCCCCCCCCACCCCAACTCACTCAAATGTATACAGTTCCCTTAAAGTGTCAGTTGTGGGGAAGAGGTGTGTGGTTGCGAGTGCCCTTACTAGTTTAGGAACTGCATTTTGTAAAAGCATGTTGCATGTGTCATTTCTCTCTTGTTAGAATGGGGAAGAAAAAAACCTGTCTGTTTCTTCACAGCCTCTTCCTGAAAAGTTTGTCATGAAAGGAGTTGTTGATAGATTTTCTGAAGAATTTGTGGAAACAAGGAGAAAAGCTTTAGATAAATTCTTGAAAAGAATTGCAGATCATCCAGTGCTTTCCTTTAATGAGCACTTCAATGTGTTTCTCACAGCCAAGGTAAGTTTTTTAACATCTCAACAGAAGCCAATCGGGTTATTTTGATTTTTGAGAGGAACTCTCTACTCAAGTTGACTAGGTTTTACTTCTCTAACACAGACTGAAAAGATTCCTCGAGAGAGAGAATCTGAAGTAGCTGTTGGCACAGCAAAAAGTATTAGGGTTTCCAGGGTGATGGCAAGCAACCTCTTCTGCCTGCATTTTAGTCTGGACAGTTCACATTTTAAGACTTTTTCTCTAGAAGTTACCATCCCACAAGAATATGTTGGCATCTGGAGTGGTCCAGCTTTGCTGGCTTAGCATGATGTGCTGCTCCTATGCAAGGCAGTGTCTGAGGATCAAACTGTTTTAAGAAGCATCTGATGGCTAACACTAATGATGACAACCTGTATGAGTTTCTGCATAAATACTTGTTTCTTCCACTGTGCACAGATGCCAACAATGCAGGGTTTATTAAATGCTCTTCTCTTGCACTTGGGTATAGGGGTAAGAAGTGCACTTCTGTCTACATACCCAACTTTTTCTTTGGTGCAGGGCCCTGCAATATTTTGAGCACCTTCTTTTATTGGTAAACTTTCATATTTAAGCCATTCATATGAATTAATCTGTACCAAGCAGTAACGTGTTCAAAATCTTGAACAGTTCTTTTGAAGGCATGTGGTCAGGCTTGGGAGCATACATAGCTGAAGATAATCTGTGGGGAAAGTGGTCTCTGGCTCTCTAACTTACTTCGCCCTTCCTCTGCCTACAATGTCTGATTAATGTAGCGCTTTAGGACTGAGCTCAACTAATTGGAACATCAAGTAGTAACTCAGCTGATTTTACTCTTCCTGATGCATGTTCACTGTCTCTGGGTGTTCCTTTGTTTGTGGCAATGACGTACCATTTCTAGGTAGATACATTTGTGTGACATGTCTTGTCTTGTCTTGTCTTGTTTGTGGAGCTTCTAAACTCAGAGCTGGAATTGTCCTCTCTACATCCCGATCTTGCATGGGGGAGGGTCTACAACCTGGATA